CTAGTCCTGAGCCCGGTTGAGAGGAAGGCTAATTTTTACGTGCTTATTCTTCGAATAAACACGCCAATGACCGAGAGGGCTCAATTTATGGAAGAGCATTGCAGTATTAGCAGTAGCAGACATTGCTTATGAAATTCGCACTATCCCCAAGAGTGCTCGACCGGAATTACATTTTCCCGTATATATATATGTATATATATATATATATATATATATATATATATATATATATATATATAAAATTAAATTTTCCGAAATTGAAATAAATTCGAAGACTATTAAAGGTGTAAATTAAACAATAAATTAATATTCATTTAAGATGTTTTCAGTTCAAATGAAATATTCTGTAGGTATATGCATAAATAAGAGAGTCATTTTACATATTTAGGGTGATTGGAAAGTAAGACTCGTCTTAAAATACTTATAATTTATTTATTCACTATAAATTTTATAAGAAATGAATATGAGAGGAAAACGTTTAACAAGAAGATTTATCTAAAATTCGGTATTGACACCAGATTTCGTTACCAGCTTCCCGGCAATCGTGTCAACTGATTTTACCAGGATCTCCAGTGGTATGGAAAACATAATTTCATATATTCGCTCTTCAAATTCTTCCAAAGTTTTTAGTTTGGTATAGTAGGCATGTTCCTTTAACCAGCCCCAAAGAAAAAAATTAGATGATGTTAATTCCTGGCTGGCTACTTGGTCGAAATGGCTAGACATGTGACTACTTTTCCTTTGAGGTCGTAGATAACAGAGCTAATATTTCTGAAGCAAGCGCGTCTACTAATTTTGGGGGTTACAAACTTTCTTTACAAAGGGTCTGAGCTTAGGATTGTTGAGAATCAGAATAAGACGCTCCGATTGGTCCATTATTATTCTGTGGCAGTGTTCTCTACTACGTCCGCGCAGAAGAGGATTCAATGAAACCAATTTTTAAATTTGCAAAATTGATGACGCGAGCGTTATTTTTTGTATGGTTGCTGCTCAAATATACTTCATGTATATATTTATATACATACATATGTGCAACCCACAAACATGAAACGACTTCTGAATTTGTTATTTTGACAAAAATGTCTTGCACACAAATGCCATGATGGTACAAATAGCAAACCGCTATTCAAAAACTGGTTTAGTTGCTCGGTGTTAGCAAAAACAAAAAAAAGCTTTTCCCACAATTTCTAACTTAGTGAGAATCCGGTTATAAAATTGAAAACACGGCATTTAATGACTGACCGATGCAAAGAGACTAAAGAAACGTGGACAACGTATTTTTTAGTTATCGATTATTTTTATGCAGCGAAATTTTGACCGCATTGGGGGCGGGGAAGATGATGAGAGACTTTGAATGACACACTTGAATAACATATAAAGAATGAAGGTTGAAGGTTAGCGCCAGAATAGGATGTATGGACTTTGATTAAAGCGTGGACTCTATAGATCTACGCGAAGTATCTGTCGGCTTAAAATGACGGATGAGGTAGTCGTCTCAAGGGCATGACCGGAGGGGGGTCGAAAACACAGCAACAGAACGAATCATCAACCGATTTTAAATCAGATTTTGCCATATGTATGTTTAATCACTGGAAAGACATTGCAATCAAGAGACATAGTAATTCTCTCTCTGTCTACAGATAGATAGATAGATAGATAGATAGATAGATAGATAGATAGATAGATAAAAGTGAACATTGAAGTCAACACTTAGAGGCGACGGGCGGTTTCATGCTAGACGCAATCGTCACGCTACCTGATATATATATATATATATATATATATATATATATATATATATATATATATTAAAGAAAAACTAAAACAGTTGGTGGAACCAACGGATAAAGAATAGCTTGCCAAAACCTAAACTCTTATCCAGATACAGTCTAGAATAAAGATGACAATACTGAAAACAAGAACGAGAAAAGAGGCCAAAAAGCAAACTTAGCTAATCAGTAAAGTGCTCGAAGCCTAGATTACATAGACCGAGCAAAAACACTTACCAACATTAAATCCGATGAAAGCATATTTGAGCAGCAACCATTCTTTTAAACATGTTTTGTTGAATATGCCGGACAAAGAAAATTTGATTATTTATTTATTTGT